GTTTAACTCGGTCAGTCCCATAGAAGCTCTTCTAGTGGCTGAAAGCCAATAGAGGTGGATTTTACCCTACAACAAAAACGTTGCAATTTCAAAAAAAAAACTGCAATGTTTTACATTGCAGGGTTAAAAGCACAGGACCACTGCACCCAGACCACTTCATTGAGATTAAATAGTCTGGGTGACTATACTGTCCCTTTCAGGTAGTATAAGGGTTAATGACTAGTTTAGGTGTTATGTTTGTTAGAGGAGCACAAAGAAACAACAGGGTCTTTTATACCAACAGGGACTTTTATGACATCACATTCTAAATACATTGTCATTAATATGTAGTTGGTCTCCCTCTTTGCAGTCATAACAAAATCTTCTGGGAAGGCTTTCCACAAGATTCTGGAGTGTTTCTGTGGGAATTTTTGCACATTCATCCAGTAAAGCATTTGTGAGGTCAGGCAGTAATTTTGGATGAGAAGGTCTGGCTCGCAATCTCCGTTCCAGTTCATCCCACAGGTGTTTGATGGGGTTGAGTTCAAGGCTCTATGAGGGTCAGACAAGTTCTTCCACACCAAACTCATCCAGCCATTTCTTTATGGACCTTACTTTGCGTACTGGGGCACAGTCATGCTGGAATAAAAAGGGCCTTCCCCAAACTGTTCTAACAAAGTTTGAGTAAAGGATCTAGCCAAACCTCTGAAAAACAGCCCCATACCATTATACCTTCTCCATCAAACTTTACAGTCGGCACAATGGAGACAGACATCAGACAGAGAAGAATGATTTGTCACTTCACAGAACACGTTTCCATTGTTTCAGGGTCCAATGGCAGCATGCTTTGCACTACTCAATCTGACGCTTGGCATTGTTCTTGGTGATATGAGGCTTGCATGCAGCTGCTTGGCCATGGAAACCTATTCCATGAAGCTCCCGCAGCACAGGTTTTATGTTGATATTAAAGCCAGTGAAAGTTTGGAACTCTTCAGATATGGGCGCTGGCAACTTTTTACGCACCATACGCCTCAGCAATCCTTGACCACGCTTTGTAACTATACGTGGTCTTCCGTTTCATGGCTGAGTTGCTGCTGTTCCTAAATTCTTCCACTTTTCAGTAATACCACTTAGAATTGACCGTGGAATATCTAGAAGGGATGACATTTCATGAACTGACTTATTGCAAATGTGGCATCCTATCACTGTACCACACTTGAATTCACTGATCCTTTCATAATGACCCACTTTTTTCACAAATGCTTCTAAATGCAGGCTGCATGGTTAGGTGCTTGATTTTATACACCTGTGGCAATGGGTCTGATTGAAACACCTGAATTCAATAATTAAGAGCTGTGCACAAATACTTTTGTCCATGTAGTGTATGTTCCAGTTCTGCCCAAGATCAGAACCTTGGATCCACAGTTTGGTGATCTACTTAATCTTCCCCACTCATAACTAGGCATAATTACACAGCTGTCATCACTATTCACATATTAAAGCATTAGAAAACATAATCTGCCTGTTGAAATTATAAACATATGGACCGTATAGTAATATATTAGGATAATGGTGAATTTATTACGTGAACATAATGCTCCAATCCTTTGTATAATTTATATGATATTTTTTTTTTCCGAGTTAAGGATAGGACTGGGGAAAGGGACTGAATTATTAGTAACAGACATAAATAGCATCTGCTGCCTAGTAATGCCACTTACAAACAGCAATTAATACAATTTAAAATATCTACTTTAGTCCATGTAATCTAACAATTTGTCTGCCATTATCACATGAAGCGTTTTGTGCTGTATATCTGCAAATCCTTCATGGAAGACACTTTCTTTTGGAATATCTTATTTGGGATTGACCATGCCGCTTCTAATGTAAATTATGTTTTATATGTTTGTAACCAGTATGTGATTTCTTACCATCTGTATGTAAATATTTATTAGGGTGTTTGCCAATGTAATCCTCACGTCCATCACTAATACAATAAAATGTTTTTGAAAAAATAAAAAATAAATTACACAATTCTATCACGGAGGTCAACACAACTTGTACAATTTCTTAGACTTCAATAATATCAGGATATGTATTTGCCAAGTTATGCTTTTTATAAAATTTTCTAAAAATAAATATATAAAAATGGACACATTAAGCTTTTTCAATGTTTATTACTGGTTGTTCTTTGGATATATATATTTTTTCACTTCTTCATTTTATGGCGATTTCATGAAAGACATGACTTGTCAAACACGTTCTGATATTTTGAAGACAGCGAAATTTTATGTTTTGTGTTCAATAAATATTTGAACAGTTTTGTACTTTGCCATTCTAGCAAATACCTTGATTGTAGAAGCAAGAGTGAACAAGTTATCCTATAAGGAACACTGCCTCACACTTAAAATAACTTTGATATTTAGAAAGGTTTCTGCAAATGGTGATATATTTTTAGACAATTTTAGTAGATTGCAGCACTTGCTCCCTTGAAGAACATTTTGTAGACAAGTTTAGACAGACAGGATAGTTTAAAACAATAAGTTTCAGTGGGATTTAAGTGCCACAATGACTAACAAACTGACCTATAACTGTTTGCTACAGAGCATAAAAAAATAACTTAAAAACACAATTATTGCATAATACAGTTAATATGGATGCTGACTATAAAAAAATAATAATTAAACATTTATCCTGAAAAAGTTAGTTTAGCTTATATCTATTTTCTAAGTCTATCACGTGGTCTAGATTTTCTTTGTTATCCAACTTAACAGAACAATTTTGTCAAACCTGTGATTGTGAGACAATAGCAGCTGGTACCCCATCTACTGCGCTATTTCAACTGGATACATTATATACCATATATACCATAACATGAGCAGAAAACACATCTTAACCTATCAAGGACAGTTATATTAAACTAATGCTTCATGCACCATAACAACAGTTTGTCCAGTTAGCCTCCTTTGCGTAATAGAGTAATTGCGTAATAATCAGAATGTAGTTTCAGAGGGTGTAAAACTCAGTGCTGTCTCAGCTCCTCCAGTGTCTGTGTGTGAGGCTGGACAGGAAGAGGAAGGAATCACTTCCCATCTGCTCACAATAGCCTCTCACACAGGAAATGCCTTGCAGGAGGAGCAGGAACAGCACTGAGTGATGCTCACTGTATGCCATAGGACAACAATGAATGATGCACACTGTATAACAGATACTATATCTCTGTTGTACTTTGCAAAAAAAACCTTCACTACACATACCTTAAACACCCCTTTTCCCTTAACCTAAATTTAACTCCTCTCAAACCTTATACAAATCCTTTCTGTAGTTACAAGATCAAGCATGCAAATCCTAAAACCCTTTACTATAAACCTAGGTGTTACTCCTCTTAATAATTAAGCATCCTTGTACCCCTCCCCCCCCGAAAAAAAATGTAACCTCATTATAACCCATCTCAACATTATATGTAATCTAACTCTGTCATTAACCCTTAACGCCGTTACCACGTTTAATGCCGTCACGCTTTTTGGGTGGGCTTTATGCCGCCGTTTTTTGAGCCCTGGAGTGCCCGTGATACTTACCTACCTGGCGCTCTGCTTTGGGAGGACTGCCTCACAGCCCAGGCAGCCCTCCCACGGCAAAAGAAGCCCCCGGGGGCCATGTGATCGCTCTCAAAGCCTATAGCTGGCTGTGGATCTGCCAGCAGGGGGACTGTCTGAAATGTCAGACAGTCCCCCTGCTAGTGGGAAAGTAAAAAAAATATTATTAAACATATTATAAAATAAAATAAATATATTTATAAATATATAATATATGTATATATATTATATATATAATATATATACATATTATATATATGTAACGTCATACATAGTGTATTTTAATATTAATATAAGCACATATATTAGTATTAAAATACACTTAGAATGACGTTACATATATATAATATGTATATATATTACCGTGTTTCCCCGAAAATAAACCCTACCCCGAAAATAAGCCCTAGTCGGATTTTCGGGGTGGGCTGCAATATAAGCCCTACCCCGAAAATAAGACCTAGGCATTGTACCTTTGCGGCAAGACTTCCTTCTTCTACTGTAGGAGGAGCGTTGTGGGCCGCGTCATCGCGCAACGTGATGACGACATTTCGCAGCGCCGTCAGTCTGCCTTCACGGATCTTCAGCGGAAGGATCCATTTCCGGGTGGTGAGGCTCCCAGTGGTCGGACTCGGCAAGGAATCTTTGAAATGTGAGTACCGCTAGATATTTTATGTCTGGGATTTATTGAATTAATTAAAGGAGGTGTGAATTAATTAAAGGGTGGGCTGGATTAATTAGAGGGGGGTGAATTAATTAAAGGGTGGGCTGGATTAATTAGAGGGGGGTGAATTAATTAAAGGGGGGTGAATTAATTAAAGGGGGGTGAATTAATTAAAGGGTGGACTGGATTAATTAGAGGGGGTGAATTAATTAAAGGGGTGGTGAATTAATTAAAGGGTGGGCTGGATTAATTAGAGGGGGTGAATTAATTAAAGGGGTGGTGAATTAATTAAAGGGTGGGCTGGATTAATTAGAGGGGGTGAATTAATTAAAGGGGTGGTGAATTAATTAAAGGGTGGGCTGGATTAATTAGAGGGGGTGAATTAATTAAAGGGGTGGTGAATTAATTAAAGGGTGGGCTGGATTAATTAGAGGGGGGTGAATTAATTAAAGGGGTGGTGAATTAATTAAAGGGTGGGCTGGATTAATTAGAGGGGGTGAATTAATTAAAGCGGTGGTGAATTAATTAAAGGGTGGGCTGGATTAATTAGAGGGGGGTGAATTAATTAAAGGGGTGGTGAATTAATTAAAGGGTGGGCTGGATTAATTAGAGGGGGGTGAATTAATTAAAGGGGTGGTGAATTAATTAAAGGGTGGGCTGGATTAATTAGAGGGGGGTGAATTAATTAAAGGGGTGGTGAATTAATTAAAGGGTGGGCTGGATTAATTAGACGGGGGTGAATTAATTAAAGGGGTGGTGAATTAATTAAAGGGTGGGCTGGATTAATTAGAGGGTGTGAATTAATTAAAGGGGTGGTGAATTAATTAAAGGGTGGGCTGGATTAATTAGAGGGGGTGAATTAAAGGGGGGGTGAATTAATTAAAGGGTGGGCTGGATTAATTAGAGGGGGTGAATTAATTAAAGGGGGTGAATTAATTAAAGGGTGGGCTGGATTAATTAGAGGGGGTGAATTAATTAAAGGGTGGGCTGGATTAATTTGAGGGGGGTGGATTAATTAAAGGGTGGGCTGGATTAATTAGAGGGGGGTGGATTAATTAGAGGGGGTGGATTTATTAAAGGGGGGGTGGATTAATTAGACAGTATGGTATTTTGATCCCCAGACAAGATGAGTGCAAAGAGAAAGAGCTGTACATACTGGTAACGTAAATAAATAAGCCCTACCCTGAAAATAAGCCCTAGTGTGTTTTTTGTGACTAAAATTAATATAAGACCCGGTCTTATTTTCAGAGAAACACGGTATATATAATAGATATATACACATATATTGTATATATATACGTATAATTACAATAATAAATAAATAAAATAAATAAATAAATAAAATATTTTTTACAAATTTAAATGTTATTAATATATATATATATATATATATATATATACGTAACAAAATACACTTAGAATGACATTCTATACATATCTATCTATATATAAAATACAAATAACCACAAATATATATATATATATATATATAGATAAATACATATAATTACATAAAAGATTACATTAGTGTACACGTAGAATTTAAATACCTGTAAAGGCATATATATTAAAATTCTACATGTATATTTAAGTAATCTTTTAACATAATTATGTGATTTGATTAATTAAAATTTGATTGACATGCCTGACACACAGGGAGAAAGTGCAGAGAATTTAATTCGCAAGCACTATATTTGACCCTGTAACTCTCCAAGACACCAAAAAACCTGTACATAGCGGGTACTGTTTTACTCTGGAGACTTTGCTGAACTCAAATATTAGTGTTTCAAACTGGTAAATTGTATTGCAATGATGATATCTTAAGTAAAAGTGAAGTATTTTGCATTTTTTACAAACGAAAGGCACTTTTATGGACTATATTATTGTTGTAATATGTTTTACTGTTTTAAAACACTAATATTTGTGTTTAGTGAAGTCTCCCGAGAATAACAGTACCCCCAATGTACAGGTTTTATGGTGTTTTGGAAAGTTAGAGAGTCACATATAAGGCTTGCATTTCATTTTTTTGACAAATTTGTCAGATTGGTTATGTTGCCTCTGAGAGCGTATGGTAGCCCAAGAATGAGAATTACCCCAAAAGTAGACAACCCAAGGTATTGCAAGTGGGGTATGTCCAGTCTTTCTTAGTAGCCACTTAGTCACAAATACTGGACAAATATTAGTTTTTTGCTTTGTTCACACAAAAACAAATATGAACGCTAACTTTCAATACCTTGGGTTGTCTACTTTTTCAAATGGTATGCCATTATGGGGGTAATTCTCATTCCTGGGCTACCACACCGTCTCAAAGGTAACATTACTAATCTGGCAAATTTCAATTTGAAAATGGAACGTTCTATATTTGACCCTGTAATTTTCCAAAACACCATAAAACCTGTTACTGTTGTACTCGTGAGACATCGTTGATTACAAATATGTGTATTTGTTTGCAGTAAAACCTAACAGTATTATGACATTCACAGCTAAAATGTCAGACGGAAATACAAATTTAAAAAAGAATCTTATTTTCTCACATTTTTGAAATTTTTATTCATTATAAATTATGTTCCATATATGAATAGTTAATGATAAATTCAAGCCCTGTTTCTCCTGAACAAAATGATATATAATAAGTGTGGGTGCACTTAATGTAACAGCGGTGAGTTACGGTTGAACAGACATACAGCGCAAATTCCAGTTTTTGTTTACGTTTTGTTTTGATCAGAACATGCACCATTGACTCCGTCCTGAAGGGGTTAACTTAAAACCCACCTATACCCTAACCTCTTCTAACATTATCTTTAAACCTACATTAATTTACAGCTGAATACACTCCCTATAATCACAGACTGAAAGACAATACAAGCAGAAATATACACAAATATACATTACATACATGCATACTTATTAAAAACTTATTGTATGTTTTTTTTTAGATTTTTATGTCTTCAATGTCCAGTTAATACAACTATCAAACTCAATCTTTTTTTGTTGTTGTTTTTTTTTTTTGTGCATATCCAGCTGTGAAAGTTCTGTAAACTTCAGTTGTGACCAGTTCCATTAAACCCACTAATTTAGGAGCCTTCCACCTTGGTTATTCAACTTTTACTTTGCAAAGGAGCAGTAATGCTATGCTCTGCGTTAGACCTATAGGAGTCCCCCAGTCTGAACATAAGCACATAACTTATAGTTTAGACTGGAAGAAAGAAGATATCGTCTAAGGCAAAGAAAAGGTTTTTTTTACTGTAAGAACAATAAGGATGTGGAATTCTCTGCCTGAAGAAGTGGTTTTATCAGAGTCCATACAGATGTTCAAAGAGCTACTAGATGCATACTTGCAAAAACAGAATATTCAAGGATATAATCTTTCAATGTAGGGTAATAACTGTTTGATCCAAGGATAAATCTGACTGCCATTCTGGGGTCAAGTTTTTTTCCTAGCTTATTGCAAAATTGGAAGTGCTTCAAAGTGTTTTTTTTTTGCCTTCTTTTGGATCAACAGCAAAAAAAAATGTAAGGAAGGCTGAACTTGATGGATGCAAGTCTCTTTTCAGCTATGTAACTATATAATACTATGTAATACTATATAATGCTAATTGATTGTATTATTTATTTTAATAAACTCTCACACTTACAGCCCCCAAATACACCTGCTATTTATTCACATGCAATTATTTTCCATCATTGTACCATTGCCACATGTCATTAAGCAATTTGAACCATTCTTCATTTCCATGTATATTACAGCCACTTCCTGCTGTTTTACAGCCACTTCCTATTCAGGGGCGTATAAGGAAAGCACAAGACAGTATTTACTAAATAAAATTGTTTCCTCAAAAACAATAAATAAAAAACCCTGTAATTTAGACTACATATGTATTTTACCATTTTATGTTTAAATGAAAGAAATCACTATGTTTATATTGCACTTCATCATTTCAATCAATTTAAACTCTGCCTAATTTGTTGTAATCATTTACATTGCATTGGGCTTAGATGTGTCATTTTACTGACAATCATACAGTACACGAGAGTCCCTTAATAAAAAGGCCATCTACAAACAAGTCAGAGAGCAATTGATTAAATTGATTGATCAGCATATCAGTTCAGTTAATGGAGGTGGCATCATTTCTTTAGACAACATAACAAAATAAATTAGCTACAATGTAGAACGTGATGTGCACATCCAATGTTTTATTAAGGCCAGAAACCACAAATGTATTTATTTAATTATAAATGATTGCATTTTCTTCAAATCTATCATTCTTCTAGTAAGGTAGCCAGAATTCATTTCAAAGCATGTGACATAAAAATTTGGACAATTAGATTTCAAGGCTTTAAATCCATTTAAATGCTAGTGATGGCTTTTCACATAAATTAAGAAATTGAACATTTTTAATTTCCTAAAATGTATTTGTTTAATTTCATGCAATTCTATCTGTTGGTTCACATACCCAATGATGACTTTGGGTGTCTAAAATATTTTAAATGGGCATACTTATGTCAAAGCACTTTTATCACAACTAAAAAAAGAGTTAGTCACATGATAATTTACGAGTGCTGATACATTTTCTACTTATTTTACAGATGTACGATTTTTGAGGAGAGCAAACAAAAATAAAATCTAGGCATTATGATGCTATTCTGATTAAATATTTAAAAGGTACTTCACTTTAGTACTTGTTTTCTGAAATTTGCAAAATCACCATGGTATTGATAATGTTAAGCTACAAATTGAATTTGGATCAATCTAAAATGATCTCAAATGGCTTTCTAAATGTCCCACATAACTTAATTTATACCTGGTACATTGAAGTACTATTTACCTTTTAAATAAATATGTCACCCTAAAGTTGAAAAATGAAATGGTTGACCAACTATAAACTGCGAGTGGTCTCCCTAATTCTTTCATCCCATGGACAACTGTGAATAGTTTAATAAATGATGCTTGTTCTCTCACCCACTGGGCTGTATTAAAAATGAGTTCCAAAAAACACCATAAGCTTAAGGAAGTCCTGCTCAATGGTCTCCCTATCACTCACCCAAATGTGGGAGGGTGAAATATTAACATTTGGTGGAGGCCTCCTAATTCCTCCTATTCCCTCACCCTATATTTAAAGGGGTGTAGATTAAAGTTACAAAATGCTCTATTCGCTCATGCCTCAACATTTACCATGTCACGGAATATCCTTAGGTGCCCAGACTCCAAAATGTAATTTTCAAGGGAGCCCATTCACATGGCAATAATTAGTGCCGCTCCTCCACATTTAGTGATACAACCTAACACACTATGCTTACAACTATTACACAGACTTGAATATCCTCTGTATTCCATTTAGAATCCAGCTTTTGACCAGGTAGACTTTTGGACATCTGGAGGTATATTCAGAGATACTTCAGTGAAAAAACTTATATTTCTGTCCACTGAACAGATATGGCTGTTCTCTGTAGTATGTCCTTACGCTTGATTTGCTTTTTATAGAAGGATTTTTGTTTTTACAACTGACACAGTTATAATATTTACTCTTCATATTGATCAAAGTAATATTTTTATTTAAAATTTACATTACATATAATTGTATATATATTTTATTACTACATTATATGTAATAATTTCTACTCTTAGCACATACAATTCCCCTATCCTTCTTTTCTGAGTAAAAATTGGGTAATTCCCATCTATTTTCTACAATAAACCTGACTTAATTTCATCTCACCAAAACTTTTCATATAATAACAGATTTTTGGTCTATGAAACAAATTATTTCATATTTTTGGTCTATGAAACATATCACGTATGTTCTAAGAAATATTTTTAAACTACAATCATTGGAACTTGATAAAAGGTAACTCTGCAGACATTTCAATTAGGCACAAGTTGGAGATAGTTTTTAGAGATCCGTTTTCAATAAATCGATCCCGATAAATTGTGGGTATATTGTGTGTATAATTACACATAAACCCTTCCATGATATACTGTAGGCAGCACTTCAATGAAAAGATTTATTGACAAAAGACTTGACCGTTTAATTGTCTTCTTTAATTTTGTTTCTATACAAAGACCTCTCAGTGCTAACTGAAGATTATTTCAATAAAAGTGTAAAAATATTCAATATTCAATATTCA